TTACATTTTCATTAGAACAAACAGCCTTCGTGACAGAGCTCCTTAGGGACACAGGGAAAAATAACCCCACCCTGCTCCCTAAATAAATGATTTGAACACACTGCAGCAAATGAAATATATCCATAGAAGTTTTCAGATTTCACTGCTCCACGTCTTGTGACATGGGAATCTGTCTAGGCTGTGGCCAGCGCACACTCGTCCTCACTTGTCCAGGCTGCATGTAACATGTCTAGGCTGTGGTCAGGGCACGTTTGTCCTTGCGTGTCCAGGCTGTGTGTAACGTGTCCAGGCTGCGGCCCGGGTGTGCTCGTCCTTACGTGTTCAGGCTGCGTGTAACATGTCCAGGCTGTGTGTAATGTGTCCAGGCTGTGGCGAGGGCATGCTCTTCCTCACATGTCCAGGCTGCGTGTAACGTGTCCAGGCTGTGGCGAGGGCATGCTCCTCCTCACGTGTCCAGGCTGTGTGCAACGTGTCCAGGCTGTGTGTAACGTGTCCAGGCTGTGGCCAGGGCGGGCTCCTCCTCATGTGTCCAGGCTCTGTGTAACATGTCCAGGCTATGGCCAGGACGCATTCATCCTCACGTGAAAGGGTTGGACTGGGTAGGAAATGTGCGTCCTCAACAGCAGTGAGTCTTCAAAGGCTCTCAATGATGGGCACCTGTCACCTTCCGGAGTCTGCTGTACAGAGAATTTGGGATGGGCACTGCCACTTCCAAGATGGCCCTAGGGCCACTGGGAGGAGGAGGATGGAAGCCATGTTTGGCGGAGCAGGCAATGCTGCTGGAGATGCAGTGCCATGACCTTACTTCCCGGACCCCGGGGAGAGGCAGCAGGCCTGGTGCCATCACCGACTGCACAATGGTGGCAGCACCCAGGCTCGGAGCTGGAAGGACAGGCTTCTTGCTGAATCCCTCCCGGCAGCGCTGGTTTTGAGGCCCTCATTTGCTCAGCGTGCACCGTGGAGACCACCTCCCCCTCTCCTGGTGGCCGTTGGAGTTTGAAATGGCCCCCAAGAGCACAGTGGCCTGGTGCATTGCCAGCCTGGCAGGACGGGCCACATGCAGCCACCCTTGCTGCCCGCACAGTGTAACTGTGGACAGTGTCCCGTTCACCTGGGGCAGATCCCATATCGTGTGATTAACTCCACAGCATCCCGTGTACCTGGGGTGGGGGCCCGCACCATCTACCTGACTCCGCAGTGTCCTTGTAACTGGTTATCCACGGTGGGGGCAGAGCCGTTCGCGGGTTTGTGCCCCAGCACCTGCACGGGAAGGTGGCTTGTGAGTTTGGAGTATGGCTTCAGGTTGTTATGGTCACCAGAGTGGTTAATGATGATGTCGGTTTCATAAGCGATTGTTTGAAGTAGAAGGATCAAGATTCATGAGGTGTAAGTAAAGTAGACGCTAGGAGGCGGTGTTTGGAGGAGGCAGCAGAGGCGGCACCCTCTGAAGGTCTCAGGTGCTGTCAGTACAGCCCCAGATCCCCCTGCCCCTTGGTCCCTGCAGCCTGCAGCACCCACCCTGTGCAGACTTGGCATCTGTACCCCAGTGTGGGTCGGGAGCTCCTCTCCGAAAGGGCCCCTCACGCACGGGGAGTGCCACAGGGGAACCTGAGATGCACCAAGTGCCTGTGAGCCTGTGAGGTATCCACAGGTGTGTCCAGCAAAGAGCTGTGTGTCCCATGAATGCACCTGTCCGCCCACAGGTGTGTCCTGTGAATAGAGGCGTGTCCTGTGGCCAGGTGTGTCCATTAGATGGTATACCCCTCCAGGGCAGAGCATGTAACTAACTCCACAGTGTCCCTTGCACCTGGGGGGCGCTTCCCACAAAGAATACAGGTTGTGTGCTGAGCACTAGGGCCTGTGTGGCCCCGGGGTGCTTCTGTTTTGGGGTTGCAGCTGCTCTTCTACTGCAGTGGGGTTGACATGGCTCAGGAGCGGATTTCTGATGATGAGAGATGATCAGATTTGAAATGTAAATTCAGGTATTCTCCTAGAACCTCCCTGGCGCTCAGAGAGATTATGTGTATTCTTAATGTTTCTATAGCAGACTGATCTCTTTGGAAGATTATCGTTTTTGTCTGGGTGTGTTGGTTCACACCTGTCATTCCAATGCTTTTGGGAGGTCAAGGCGGGAGGATCGTTTGAGTCTGAGTTTGAGACCAGCCTGGGCAACAAAGCAAGACTCCTGTCTCTACAAAAAATGAAAAAGTTAGCCAGGCACTGGAGTGTGTGCCTGTGGTCCCAGCTACTCAGGTAGCTGAGGCAGGAGGATTGCTTGAGCCCAGGAGTTGGAGAATGCCGTGAGCTGAGATTGCGCCACTGCAAAGATTACTTTTGTCTTTTTAGTGGACAGAAAACGTTTTGCCCAAATGAAAATTTTACTGTTTTTTAAACTATAAAATCTCTGAGTACATAACTGATTTTAAGTTTCCCTGATTGGATAATTTATTTCAGAACTTTTGATTTGAGGTGAACTTACATAGACGTTTGAACTGTTGTGAGGCAGTCACTGCTTCTGTAAAATCTCTGACATTTTTTTTCTTTTCATCATTCTCCTTAATTCTTACAGGCTCTGTTTTCCTGAGGCATAAAGAGATGTTTTATTCATGTAGGAAATCAAATATGATCGTTCGGCTTCCTGGCCTGAATACAGGGTACCTGGAGCCTTTGACATATCCCGTCACATGGCCCGAAGCCAGGTGTCAGTTGTGGACCTCCCAGCTTGGGGATTCAGTGGTGGTTTTCCTGGATTTGATGTGTGTTCTGGCCCCTTCCCCGATGCTTAGTTCATCTTGGTGAAGCTGCACCTGGTGGAACACCTGCTGCCTCGCTCTCCCCAAACCCCTGGGTCATCCCCACACTCCTTGGGCCTCAAGGCCCTTGGGTCTAGAGCCAACAGGTGGTCTCAGCATGTGACCCTCCCCGCACCTGCTCTGAACATGATTTGTCTTCCTTTTCAGTGGCCCCTTGTTGGGGCAGGTTCTGCTGCTGGTACACACATAGTGGTGCTTATGTAGGAGAACTGCGTTTGCCTCCGGCCCTCATGTCCGAGGCCAGTGTGGTGCAGGATGAGGCCTCTGTTCTCTGCCATGGCCCCCGTGTTGAGGTAGCACCTGGAGTCAGGTGGGGGCCTGGTCTTGGCATCACGGGGGCTAGAGGCCTGGCCTGTAATGGTCAGCGGTCATGGCTCTCACAGTCCTTGTGCCCAGCGGGAAGGGAGTGAAGGGGAGGCCAGGCTGGGTCTTCTGCAGCATGTCTCCTGCCAGGCAACACCTGTTGTGGGGGGCTGGAGACCCCACAGCATCTAAGTTGGGGATGGTCCGGGACCCTGAAGGCAGAGACAGGGAGGGACAGAAGCCTCTTTTCTCCCTCATTTTCCCACCTGTGAAACGTGAGGGAATAATTACTTTTCCCCGGACATTTTAGGCCGGGCACGGTGGCTCACACTTGTAATCCCAGCACTTTGGGAGGCCGAGGTGGGTGGATCACCTGAGGTCAGGAGCTGGAGACCAGCCTGGGCAACATGGTGAAACCCATCTCTACTAAAATACAAAAAATTATCCGGTGTGATGGCATGTGCCTGTAGTCCCAGCTGCTTGGGAGGCCAAGGCAGGAGAATTGCTTGAACCCAGGAAGCGGAGGTTGCAGTGAGCCAAGATCATACCACTGCACTTCAGCCTGGGCAACAGAGCAAGACTCTGTCTCTGGGAAAAAAAGTTTGGTAATGACTAAGGAAAGGTGTGTGTGTCGTAACAAGTCTGAGCGCAGGAGTGTGTGACACAAAGCTGCCGACCCCCTAGCTCCAACCCCGTCCCCCATGAGGGCTGCATGTGGCCATTTGAGGGGGTCTTTGTGGAAAGGGGGTGGAATAGTCCCACACTTGCTTAGTTTTCTCCTATTAAACACATTTGACATTTCAGGTGAGCCCTACTCAACTCAACAGTTGGAAAATGCGGTTTGTAATGGAGGAGACCCAACCACTGCTCCTTTCCCAGGGAGGACTGTGGGTGAACATGTCCCAGCAGTTCATCCGTAGAAGTTCTGGGCCCCTAGGTGCTAGATGTGGCCTCACTTGGAAACGGGGTCACTTTGGGAGTGGCCCCTGACTACCAGGCGACTGTCGTCCTTGTGAAAGGGTGACACTGGGACACATGTGCACTAGGAGAAGCCACATTAAGACAGCAGAGGTTGTGTACACAGGACACAGCCATGGCAATGGGTTGAAACGGACGTCCCCGGCTCGGCCAGCATCCTGATTCTGGACTTGGGAACACATTTCTGTTGTGTAGGCCATCCGGGCGATGGCCTCTCATTAGGGCAAGATTCTTGAGTCTAAGGAGAGACGGGAGCGACGCCGGGGTGGGGCGGGGCGGGGCGGGGGCACCAAATTCAGAAATGATTCTGTGTGTCCCTCGACTTTTCAAGGCAGGGCCATCTTTGGCGCGTCTCAGATGACTGGAGGCCGGCAGCCTCAGGGCCTGAGCTCCCTCTGGCCCTGTCCCAGTGCTGGGCAGCGACCAGCCCTAAGCCAGAAATCTCCCTCCTGCAGGAGCCTTGAGCTGGTTTAAGCCCAGAGTTTTGGAAATTTTCAGGACTAAGGCTATGAATGCTTTAAATCCTTATTGGTCTGTGGGTTTTTTTTGTGTAGGAAATTTTATTCTTTTTTCTTAAGAATGTTTCTTTAAGCGTGAGGGATGGCCACAGCGTGGGTCATTTAACTGAGTTCTCAGTTCGGGTAACAGTTGCTTGAGCTGTGGCTGGGTGTTTTATCATTGCCGGGATATGCAAGTTGCTGCGTGTAGGATTCTGTTCAGATCCTCATTAGCCGTGGGCGGAAACTCACCGCAGACGTCCCACTCTGGTCGCGCTGGTGCCCTCCGGTGTTTGCTGCCCTGCACAGCCCTCCTGCTGCACCCGAGCCCCGCCCAGCGTCTCCTGTGCTGCCTCTTACGGCCTCCGCCTGTGCTTAGCTTGGGTAACTCTTGTTCTTACCTCCACAGAGTCTGTAGATGAGGCGACACCAGAGCTTCCAAATGAACGACCGGAAGGAAGATATGGAAATCGCGTCCCACTACCGGCACCTGCTGCGGGAGCTCAATGAGCAGAGGCAGCACGGCGTCCTGTGTGACGTCTGCGTGGTCGTAGAGGGCAAGGTTTTCAAGGCACACAAGAACGTCCTGCTGGGCAGCAGCCGCTACTTCAAGACGCTCTACTGTCAGGTGCAGAAGACGTCGGAGCAGGCCACGGTCACGCACCTAGACATCGTCACGGCGCAGGGCTTCAAGGCCATCATTGACTTCATGTACTCTGCACACCTGGCACTCACCAGCAGGAACGTCATCGAGGTCATGTCCGCCGCCAGCTTCCTGCAGATGACAGACATCGTGCAAGCGTGCCATGACTTCATCAAGGCTGCGCTGGACATCAGCATCAAGTCCGACGCTTCGGATGAGCTTGCAGAGTTTGAGATCGGTGCCTCGTCCAGCAGCAGCACGGAAGCGCTCATCTCGGCCGTGATGGCCGGAAGGAGCATCTCCCCATGGCTGGCACGGCGAACAAGTCCTGCCAATTCTTCTGGAGACTCGGCCATCGCCAGCTGTCATGACGGAGGGAGCAGCTACGGGAAGGAGGACCAGGAGCCCAAGGCCGACGGCCCTGACAATGTTTCCTCGCAGTCCCTGTGGCCTGGAGACGTGGGCTACGGGCCTCTGCGCATCAAGGAAGAGCAGATCTCCCCACCTCAGTATGGAGGGAGTGAGCTGCCTTCTGCCAAGGACAGCGTGGTGCAGAACTCCTTCTCGGAGCAGAGTGCTGGCGATGGCTGGCAGCCTACAGGCCGCAGGAAGAATCGGAAGAACAAAGAGACTGTCCGACACATCACGCAGCAGGTGGAGGATGACAGCCGGACCAGCTCCCCAGTGCCGTCCTTCCTGGCGACGTCAGGGTGGCCGCTCAGCAGCCGAGACTCAAGTAAGCCTTTTGCTTGTTCCGAGACTCAGCGGCCCTGGGGTGTCCAGGCCTCGTGGCGGTGCACTGTGGGGACGGGTGACGCATGTCCAGGCTCACACCGATGGCTTCCTGGGGTCACTTTCTTTTACAGGAAGTGGTTGTGACCGCAGGGAATGCAGCTGTGCATCTCAAAGGCCAGGGTAGCACCAGGGCCCCCGGAGACCCTGCATATCTGTCCCTGTTGGCACAGCGCTGGCGTCACCCACACACAGGGGCTGCCTGGGCTGGGCCCCTCCGAAGCCAAAGGGGCGTGAGTGGGGTGATTCCTGGAGGGGCCCCTTCAGCCCTGGTGAGGGCGTGGCCTGCAGGGTCCACTTCCCTGGCCTGTGGGACTGTCCCATGAGCCCCAGCGGGGGTAACAGCTGGCCACTTACCAGGGTGGCCTTCAGTCCAGGCTTTTCATCTGGTAACTTCGGCTTTTGGTCGCTGTTGCTATAGTGAATGTTGAACAGACACATCTTGTGAGCACACTCTGCCCTTAGCACCTCAGTGCACCTTTACTGGGGGTCTGAGGGGTTACAGCTGTGAAGCAGCCTTTCACGGGAAGGGGGTTTGTATTTGCTGACAAGTGTGGGTTCTGCCTGTCTAAACCAACAGATGGTGTTTGTTTCTTTTCTTTTTTCTTTTTTGAGACAAGTCTTGCTCTGTCACCCAGGCTGGAGTGCAGTGGAGCAATCTCAGCTCACTGAAACATCCACCTCCCGGTTTCAAGTGATTCTCCTGCCTCAGCCTCCCAAGTAGCTGGGATTACAGGTGCCTGCCACCACGCCCGGCTGATTTTTTTTGTATTTTAGAAGAGACAGGGTTTTGCCATGTTGGCCATAGTGGTCTCGATCTCCTGACCTTGTGATCCACCAGCCTTGGCCTTCCAAAGTGTTGGCATTACAGGTGTGAGCCACCACGCCCGGCCTTTTTTCTTTTTGAGACAGTCTCTTTCTCTCACCCAGGCTGAGAGTGCAATATGGCTCACTGCAACTTCTGCCTCCCAGGTTCAAGCGATTCTCCTGCCTCAGCCTTGTGAGTAGCTGGGATTACAGGCGTGTGACACCACGTCCGGCTAATTTTTGTAATTTCAGTAGAGACGGGGTTTCACCATGTTGGCCAGGCTGCTGTCAAGCTCCTGACCTCAGGTGACTCTTCCGCCTTGGCCTCCCAAAGTGCTGGGATTACTCACGGTGTGAGCCACTGTGCCCAGCTGATGTGTTTTTCCTACACCGCATGATGTAGGGTCTTGCCTTGGGTCCTGCCTGTTACTTACTGCAAAGGGGCTCTGAGTTTAGCTTTGCTGAAGCTGGACGTCACCACTGGAATGGCTATCTCCTATGTGTCTTCCAGACTTGCAAATAATAAATTAAATGTTCGCTGAATACTGGCCACTATTCCTGGTGCTGAGCATGTAATATTAATAATAACTGTGGGGATTTGGCGTCTGCCCTTTTCCCCAGGCTACAACCCAATTCAAGGAAGGCTATTTGGAGTTGGGTGTGGTGGTGCTTGTGCCTCTAGTTGCAACTGCTTGGGAGGCTGAGGCAGGAGGATGGCTTGAGCCCAGGAGGTCCAGGCTGCAGTGAGCCATGATCCTGTTGCTTCCCTTCAGCCTGGACAACAGAGCCAGACCCTGTTTCTTAATAAAAAAGGAAGGAATGGAGGCTTCCTAGCAGGTACTGCCCATGGGGAGCTCCTCCAGGGTGAAGCCAAGAAATCAACGTGGGGGTACATGAGTGGACGGAGGACGAAAGGCAGCAAACCGCAGGGTTGAGAGCCCTGAAAAATGTTGCAGGTGCCAAGTGTGTGTGGGTGGCATGGCTGGGAGAGGCTGCCTGCTCCCCTGGCTGGAGGGCTTCCTGGGCAGGGTGGGCATGGCCTCTTCTCCTGACCCTGGTTCCTGTCCATCTCTGAGAGATCTCTGAGAGCCAGGAGTGAACGCAGCCCAATACGTTAGCTTTTATCATTGTGGTAGAATATACATAACATAAACTTTACCTTTTTAACCATTTTAAATGTACATTTCACCGGCATGAAGTACAGTCCTGTGTTGCTTGATGACAGGGATAGTTTCTAAGAAATGCATCGTCAGATGATCCTGTTGCTCTGGGATCAGGATCATGGAGCACTCGGCACAGACGTTTGGGAAGTGCTGCCAATTACAGGCCCGGCACGAACCCCCCAGTGCAACGAACCCGCTGCAGGCAGCTGTGACGCCATGGGAAGTGTCTGTAGAAAGGGTGGGTGTAAAACATAACAGCATGCCTGGGTAGAGCACCTGCAGTGAGCGGAGCTTGCCGGCCTGGAGCTGCTCTGGGTGAGCAAGTGGTGAGTGAGCGTGAAGGCTGAGGATGCGACTGTGCCCTGCTGGAGACTTATAAACACTGTGCGGAGCCTACACTCAACTTACTTTTTTACTTTGTGCTAGGATCCCCCAATGGCTATGATGTCACCAGGTGACAGGAATTTCCCAGCTTCATTCTCATCTATAGAACCACGATGGGACCACTGTCGTTATCTGTGGTCTGTCCTCCTGTGGCACATGAAGCTGTTATGCAATCAGAACTTTTCCATCATCCCAAAGGGAAACTGTATCCATGACGCAGGACCTTTCCCTTGCCTCTACCCCACCTGTGGGTAAACGCTCTTCTGGGTTGACATAATGTAGCTTTCGTTAGAGTGAGAGCTGTTCTACGTTTTCACAATGTAGCTTTTATTCATTCTCCTTCTGTTGTTTGCCCTGCACTGAACTATGACCAAGCCCTGGATGTTCAGTAAAAGATGGTGGTGGAGTATAGTAGCTCACTCCTGAATCCCTTTTGGAGGCACTTTGGGAGGCCGAGGCAGGAGGATGGATCCGTTGAGGCCAGGAGTTTGGGACTATCCCGGGCAAAGTGGTGAAATCCCATCTCCAACACACAGCTAGGTGTGGCTGGGCATGGTGGTTCATGCCTGGAATCCCAGCACTTTGGGAAGCTGAGGTGCATGGATCACTTGAGGTCAGAAGTTGAAGACCAGCTTGGCCAATGTGGTGACTCACTGTCTCTACTAAAAATACAAAAATTGGCCAGGCGTGGTGGCTCACGCCTGTAATCCCAACACTTTGGGAGGCTGAGGCGGGCAGATCATGAGGTCAAGAGATAGAGACCATCCTGGTCAACATGGTGAAATCCTGTCTCTGCTAAAAATACAAGAATTAGCTGGGTGTGGTGGCACGCGCCTGTAGTCCCAGCTACTTGGGAGGCTGAGGCAGGAGAATTGCTTGAACCCAGGAGGCGGAGGTTGCAGTGAGCCGAGATTGTGCCATTGCACTCCAGTCTGGGCAACAAGAGCAAAACTCTGTCTCAAAAAAAAAAAAAAAAAAACCCACAAAAATTAGCCAGGCGTGGTAGCTGGTGCCTGTAGTCCCAGCTACTCCAGAGACTGAGGTAGGAGAATTGCTTGAATTAGGGAGGCAGAGGTTGCAGTGGGCTGAGATCACACCACTGCACTCCAACCTGGGTAACAAAACAAGGCTCTGTCAAAAAATTTAGGTGTGGTGGCTCCTGCAGTGTCCCAGCTGTTCAGGAGGCGGAGGTGGGAGGATCACCTGAGCCTGGGAGGTCGAGGCTGCATTGAGCTGTGATCACGCCACTGCATTCCTGCCTGGGCAGCAAACTGCAACCCTGTCTCAAAAACAAAACAAAAAACTCGAAACAAACAAGAAACACAGCAATTGGTTTAACTCGGGGTTTCTCAGCCTCAGACTGAATTGCGCTCCATTGTGGCACTGTCCTGGGCACTGCAAGGTGTCAGCAGCACCCCTGGCCTCCACCCACAGATGCCAGGAACACTTGCCTTTGGTTCCCCCGTTGGTACAACCGAAAATGTCTGCAGACATTACCGGTTGGGAAAATTGTTTCTCTCTCTGCTGCTGTACATGTGGAGGGTGTACAGGCAGCAGGCCAGGGGCAGTGGCCTTTCCATCTGTTCGTAACTGTTTATAATCTTCCCTTAGCTCCAACAAAACCTGAGAAGCAGTGGTCCCTGGCAAGTGGCATGGCTTTGGGGGGAGTATTGTGGTATTTTCAGATGTGCTGCAGGGTCTGACGTCATGCAGACCCCTCCCACCGGTCCAGGGACGCCTTGAGTGCCTCTGCGTGAGTCACTGGCAGGGGCCGGTGCTGGACACCTTTATATTATGAGAGTCGATCCAGGCACTGAGAAGTAGTGCACTCCCTGAGCCTGTGGGCTGAATGCTTTAAATGCAGTTGTCAAGCAGAAGGTGTTTTTAGAATCCAACAAGTGATTTTGGCTGTGTACTTTTGTTAGAGTCTTAAATCCCTGGGGTTTCCAAGGCAACTGCAAAACTCTTCCCATTAGATGATTCTGAGTTGCTAAGGCGAGGACACAAGGCTGTGAGCTCCAAGAGGGTGTTCTGCCCACGCCGTGGCAGCCGCTGACTCCCCGAGCTCAGTCCTCTGCCCAGGCCCTCAGGCCAGGATTTGAAAGCAAATCGTGATCCCATGGAGGTCAGTTTGTTTCCATAAGATTTATTACATCGTAGAGAAGAGGGTTTTAAATTCTCATCACATTTATAGAAGCAAAGGCTATTTTATTTTTTATTTTTGAGACAGAGCTTCGCCCAGGCTGGAGTGCGTTCACGAAATCTCAGCTCACTGTAGCCTCTGCCTCCCAGGTTCAAGCAATTTTCTTGCCTCAACCTCCAAATAGCTGGGATTACAGGCACCCACCACCATGCCCGGCTAATTTTTGTATTTTTGGTAGAGACGCGGTTTTGCCATATTGGCCAGGTTGGTCTTGAACTCCTGATCTCAGGTGATCTGCTTGCCTCAGCCTCCCAAAGTGCTGGGATTGCAGGTATGAGCCACCGTGCCTGGCCACACAGTCCCTTTTCTAAGGACACATGTCAAGTGGTCACTGTGGATCATTCAGTGGGGATGCCCCAACCCTTCTCTGTGTTGTCCCAGCTCCTG